GCAGACAAGAAAGAGCCACCCATCTTCTTGTCCTTCCGCTGGCCCATCACTTCCCAGCCCGGCTTGCGTTCTGCACCCGAATCCATGATGTGACCACCGCCACAGCTCCCCTTGCGTCGGTGTCCTGCAACATAACAAATAGGGGCCAGAACAATGGTCCCAGAAGCGACCCTGGCTCATGGCCATGGTGACCCTCTCCCAATCCAGCTGCACCCAGTAAACAACAGTAGAGACCCTACTCACAAAGGTAAGGTAAACCTCTGCCCTGCTGCCAATCACACGCGTTGTCTCTTACTGTTGCCGTTCCATGAGGTCATGACTTGGTCGCCGCATCACACTGGCCATCTCGCATTAACCTTCCAGTCTGGGGCCTCTCTCTTTCAGTGCTCAGCTAGCCTGTTTTTAAAAGGTCTTTACACAGCTGATAGGCCACCTCTGGACACACCCCTGCCTCAGCAGGTGGTCCCTATCAGCTAATTTGTCCCATGTGCAGCCAGTCCACAGTGGATCAAAACCATGTCACATAAAACACTAAAAACCATGCAATAGAAACAGAATAAAACCATGCAAATAAAACACTCATAAATAAACACTAAAAATCAGAATAAAAACAATATACAAGATAAATACAAATTTCCACTGTGTGACATAAACAGGCACACCAACAAAAAGCAAAGGAGAGACAAAACTTTAAATACACTGAGGGCTAATAAGGGGGTTGAGACACAGCTGGGAAAAACAAGGTACAGACTAATCAATGGAAATAAGATGAAGGAAGTCAAAATGAAAACAGATACAAGAGACAAAGGCCTCCTAAAACAAAACAGTAAGTCACATAACATGGAAATAACTTACATAGAGTAACAATTATGAGAAAGAAAAGGTTGTCACAATAAAATAAACACAAGGAATCAACATAACTACAGCACAAACAAAAAACCCGTTTCTAAAATATCAACAAGTAGAATCCTTATGGAAATAAACAGAACATCGTAGATAGTGGCTTTGCCTCTTGGTGTCGTTCAGCCACATAACAAAGCTGGTTAGGTTTAGAAAGATCAGAGTCTGGGATCAGTTGGAAGACCTGTGATGAGATAGTTAGAAAAAAGAAAAAACACTGATTCATTTGGGCCTTTCATCACCCTAAACTCCTCACTCGACTCTCTCCTGACTGTATAGACATAAAACTTACCTTATACTTTCCCCTTTGTGTAAAGGGGAAAGTATAAGTGCTGTAAAAGACTGTGGAGGTGCACTGCAGGTTATTGCAAACACTTGAGTAGAGTTGTTGCTGCAAAGGCTCGCCAAACAGTTATTAGGTTTTAGGAGGCGATTGCTTTTTCACACAGGACCATGTAGGTTTGGATATTTTGCCTCTTAATAAGAAGCATGGCATGACACAGCTTGTACACTGGCATTATTTTCACCTTGCACAGCCCTCTGTGTTGGTATCTGTATAGGCTCTCTAATGGACAAATATGCTAATTTGAAATAAACTAAGCACAAATACTGTGTGGGGAAGTTTATCAGTTATGTCTGTGGACCGATTTTTATCAGCAACATAACAACACAAGGTCACCAAACTTTCAACATTCAGATGAGATCAAAAAGCAGCTTAAGTTTGAAGGTCTGTCTGTAGACAGATTGCAGAGAGAACCCATATGGAAAAGATAAATATAAATCTTATAAAGTTTTTATCTGTCTTGTGTGAAACTTGTATGAAAAGCATATAAGAGTGAAAACAGATATAAGATCCCCTGAAAGATTATATAATGAAACTTGTATGTTTTGGATACTTACTAAAACAATATCTGAAAGTAATGAGAAAGTGGCCACTTTCATGAGTAAATC